CAGCTATCCGGGGGAGGCGATCCGAAGTCTAAGGTAGAAGTTACGGATCTCTGGGTTAAAAACTCGTCGAAGCTCACAGCGACAAAGTCCGATAGAGGCCTTTATCCCACGACAGGAGAATCTGATGGAAAAGAAGCGGAGCCTTTGCTTCCGGATAAAGTGGAGAAGAGCGTAGAGGAGGTGAAGCAGCTGGTGCGGAGTAGAAGCGCGAAGCAGTTCACGTGGGTGCTCTTGTTGAAAGCGCACAAGGCGGCGGGGTGCGTGGCGTGGCTGGGCTATGCCATCGCGTCGCTATTCAGAAATCTCGGAACGAGATTGTCGGAGGACGATCAAGAGGATGACGAGGAGGAGGAAGAGGATGACTACGAGGGGTTAAACGCGCGGCCGTCGCAACGACTGCTATGGACGCTAAGGGTGCTGTCCGTGCTGTCGTTAGCGCTGCTGGCGTTTGAGGTGCTTAGCCACTCGAGCGAGCTGGAATGGGAGTTTCAGCTGCATAACCCTACCAAGCACGTCATGCCGCTCATCGCCTCCATCACCGCCCGCTTCCACGCCATCACGCAAGACTGGGTCGTCATCAGGTACTCGTCGCCTTGCCCGCAGCTTCAGGCAGCAGTTGACCTAGTTGTACAGAGGATTGGTTGACTTTAGGACGACGCACATGTAGTGCTAGATGGTTTCTCTTTCCCTGATCTATTCCTAATTACGTCCAAGAAAAGGATTGGTCCCCTAATTTTACCGCATCGTTCGTATGAGCCATTATTTGGCGGGGTTCTTAATTCCTTCCGTATCTTACATTTGATCCCCGCAGGACGCAATACATCGCGCCGCCATTGCAGTGGTTCGCGAACGCGTGCATCTACCTGTTCCTCGTGCAAACCGTGGACCGGCTGGTGCTTTGTCTGGGGTGCATCTGGATCAACGTCATGGGCATCAAGCCGCGCTGTCAACCGCTCGCGCCGTACGACCCGGAGGAGGCGGGGCAGTCGTACCCCATGGTGCTCGTGCAAATCCCCATGTGCAACGAGCGCGAGGTAAGCTCCCGATTCCTCTATTCTTCAACGATCCAGTTTATACCTTGTGTGTCATTTCAGTAGATGTCATGTCAGTGGGTTTGACTTGCATTGGTACGTTTTCCCTGTTACGTCCGCGTCGCGCATCCAGGTGTACGACCAGTCGATCGCCGCGGCGTGCAAGCTGGAGTGGCCGAGAGAGCGAATGCTGATTCAGGTGCTGGACGACTCGAGCGACGACGAGATCCAGAAGCTCATCGAAGCCGAGTGCCTCATGTGGCAGCAACGCGGCTACCCCATCATCTACCGTCACCGCGTCATCCGCACTGGCTATAAGGTCAGCATTATGATTTGGCCGTTCTTTACCCATTGCGCATTGCTCCGGAACTTCCCCGAAACAATCCCGTTCTATCGTTTGGATCGGCATGCGCAAGTATGGAGTTTCTTTAATGCACTCCCGCTCCTCGTTCGGATCGGCCGTGGTCCTGATACTGATTTCTTCGCTATCCTCGCTGTCTCCTCTCGCTGCGTTGCGATGCAGGCGGGCAATCTGCAGAGCGGCATGAACTGCGAGTACGTGAAGAAGTACGAGTTTGTCGCCATCTTCGACGCCGACTTCCAGCCCAAGCCGGACTTCCTCAAGCTCACTGTGCCGCATTTTAAGGTAACGTTTACATTTTACAATTGCTGTGATTTTTTAAGTATGCTCCCTTTATGAAAGTAATCTCCCATCCTCTCCGGTATTCCTGCGACTTGGCATGGCAACCTACACTGGTTGGTGGGGCTTCGCGATCTTCGGTGAATGGTTATTAATTTTCTTGTCTGGTCAAAAGATGTTTCCGCCCAACGTCATGTATTTCTCGTTCCGACCCCCTTTTCCCCCTCCTCCCGCCCTCTCGTCCTTCGGTCTTCGCCCTCCGCCTCCCATCAGAGCAATCCCGACGTGGCGCTGGTGCAGGCGCGGTGGAACTTCGTGAACAAGGACGAGAACCTGCTGACGAAGCTGCAGACGATCAACCTGCGCTTCCACTTCGAGGTGGAGCAGCAGGTCAACGGCGCCTTCATAGACTTCTTCGGCTTCAACGGCACGGCGGGCGTGTGGCGCATCACGGCGCTCGAGGAGTCGGGCGGCTGGATGGACCGCACGACGGTCGAGGACATGGATATTGCCGTGCGCGCGCATCTGAAAGGGTGGAGATTTCTGTTTCTGAACGACGTGGAGGCGATGTGCGAGCTGCCCGAGTCGTACGAGGCGTTTCGCAAGCAGCAGCACCGGTGGCACTCGGGCCCGATGCAGCTGTTTCGGTTGTGTCTGCCCGATATTATCTCGGCGAAGATCGCGCTGTGGAAGAAGCTCAACATGATTTTCTTGTTCTTTTTGCTGCGGAAAATGATTCTGCCCTTCTATTCGTTCATGCTCTTCTGCATCATCCTGCCGCTCACCATGTTCGTGCCCGAGGCGCAGCTACCGCTGTGGGTCGTGTGCTACATTCCGGGCATCATTTCGCTCCTCAACGTCCTCCCCTCGCCTAAGTAAGCCTTTGTGAAATAGAAAGACAGATATCATTCCCTTTTTATTGCTTATTTCTTTCCCTCTCCTTGTCCCGCTGCATTCCCTTCGCCTTCCGCCCTTTTGTTGCCTTCCTCTGCAGTCGATGTTTCCCGGCCGTTTGTTTCTCCACTTAACACTTCCTTTCCCTCCCATCGTACTGCAATCATCCTTCTTCGCAAGCTTCATACCCATGCGTTACCTTGTTACCATAACCACCCCGTAACGTCACCCCCTGGGTTGCTTGCAGGTACTTCCCGTTCATGATACCGTACCTGCTGTTCGAGAACACCATGTCAGTCACCAAGTTCCAGGCCATGATTGCGGGTCTGTTCCAGCTCAAGAGCGCGCACGAGTGGGTTGTAACCAAGAAGTCTGGCCGAACCACCGACGCCGACCAACCGCTCGCGACCACCGCCTCCGAACCACTGGTCAGTGAACCGCGCGGTTTGGGGTTTAGGCGCAGCGCGAGTTTATCGAAGGGTGTGAGTGAAGGGAGAGGTCTGGGAGTGGCCAGGGTGGGTTTCTGGTGGCGCTCTTTTGCCCCCTCGCGTCGCAAAACCCTCTCAAATTTCTCACTTGCCCTCTTCGGAACGCATGCAAACATCTTCCCCTCTCTGCGTCGTCTGACCGTTTTATTGCGCAGGGCACTCTGAAACCGAGCAAGTCTGTTGCGAATATATCTCGGCCGTCTACACCACCAGCTGCTTTTACCCGCACCGCAAGCGAGGGCATGCTCAACGTTCGGATAGAGGATCAGCTCAAAGTGAAGATAGATCAACCTTTGCTGACGACACCGCCCAAGAGTACGGAGGCCATCACACTATCAAAACCGACTGGAAGAAAGTGAGTGCTCTACAGACAAACATATGCAACTCCCAACCCTGTTATGTTGGGTGGCAAAGATAATAAATTGCTTTGGCTCTTGTCTCTTTCTTTCCCCTTGCTTCATTTCCTCACCTCCTTTCTGTCTCTCCCTCCCCAAACCCATTTCTCAGATTGTACAAGAACGAGTTAGCGCTGGCGCTGCTGCTGCTAGTGGCGGCGGCGAGGAGCCTGCTGACGGTGGCGGGGATGCACTTCTACTTCCTGCTCTTCCAGGGCTTCACCTTCCTCATTGTCGCCCTCGACCTCATCAGCGACCGCCAATAGCTGCTCCCTCTTTCCACTATCACTCCATTCGCGATTGCCCATACCATCCATTGACCCGACCATGGCTCATTTGTGGCCCCATCCACTGGCCCCATCCACTGGCCCCATCCACTGGCCCCATCCACTGGCCGATTCCTGCAATGTGCACCAACAGCAATCGCTGGTCTCACCTCCACCAACCCTCTTCACTGCCATTGACTATGTAACTCCACTCACCGATGGATGCGAGCTGCTGCTGCTGACTGCTGTGTGGTTCATGCTGTGCTGAGGCAACTTCCTAAGCCTGTGAAGTCCTCTTGGTGCATATCTCATATCCCCTGAGGTTGCACAAGATGGCTGTCAAGCTTAGGGTGAGGGGGAAGGGAGGGGGGACAAGGAATTTACAGCCGGTGAATGTAACAGAAGGAAGCAGTTTGATTGGTTGGCTCCTAGCAGCACGTGGAAGCATTTCGTCGGTTGGGCCCTCTGGGGTGGGCCTTCCCGGCCTAAGTGTGTTGCGCTTACCATTGAGGCTAGACGTTGTAGCGGGCTTTTGTATTCTGCCTCCCTTAGGTGTATCCCTTAGGAAATCTTAGATAACATAGTGCATGTGGGTGCATTGTCTTGAGTAATAAAATGATGCACACACTTCCTGGTAATAATTTGTTTACATTCGTTAACAAATATTGAGCTAGTTCGTAATATACATTCAAGCTTTTGAATCCTAGTCTACAACACTGCGAGGCTTGTAATAGCGCGGACGGCGACTTGAGATGAGAAGCCCCTGCCTTCAGCTCTTCGGCCTACCGTAGATGTTGCGCCGTGCTGTGTTCTCATCACTCTCCACCCTCGCGGTAGGTCATCGCAGACACGCCGATCATAATCCGCGCCGCTCGTTCCAGCGCTTAGGGTGAGCGAAGCAAAGCACGCATTGCACAGTTGTTGATCACACCGAGCCAAGTTCTCCTTACCGAGCGCGCCTGCAGCTGCGCGACTGCTCCCAGCGCGACTGCTCCCCGCGCGACTGCTCCCCGCGCGACTGCTCCCCGCGCGACTGCTCCCAGCGCGATTGCTCCCCGCGCGACTGCTTCCCGCGAGCGATTCTGCCTCTCACGTACGTGCGAAGTGCAGGACCCCTTTTTGGTCCACTTCCATTGCGCGCCGCTTCTCTCACGCCGCTCTGCACCTCGCTGCACCGCGCTGTGCTGTCAGGCGCCAGTGCCAACGAACGAAGCGCCGAGTTCGTTAAAAGCAACCGCCGCGCAGCCTGAGGAGCGCGGGTTGCGGGATAGCGGCTTGGCGCGGCGATGCAGAGTCTGGGGCGCGAGCTGGGCAGCCCGCCGGCGGACGGCATCTCGAACGTGCGCTTCTCCAACCACTCGGACCACCTCCTCGTCGCCTCCTGGGACTCCGTGAGTGCCGCCCGCTCTCACACATCCACACGCTGCACGCATGCCATCGTAAGTTCCGTGCCATGCTGTGCGTGCCGCCTGCCGTGCTGTGCGTGCCGCCTGCCGTGGTGAGGGTGCTTTGAGTCGACTAAAAACACCCGTCACCACTTGCGCCTGCAATTAACACCCCCCTCTCCCCATCTCCTTCCCTCCCACTTCCTTTTCCCCGCTCCCTGCGCCTCGCGTAGAACCTGCGGCTGTACGATGCGGGCGCCAACACGCTGAGAGGCACGTTTCCCCGCCGTGGCCCGGTGCTGGACTGCTGCTTCCACGACGACAGCTCTGGCTTCGCTGGCAGCGTTGATCAGTCCGTGGTGCGGTGAGTTCAGGAGGACAATATGGGGAGTGGGAGCAGGGGGAGGAGAGGCAAGGAGGGCGATTGCACCAATAATGCTCGTCTGGCCCTGCCTTCTTTGATGAGAGTGCCCCGCAAAGCATGTCTTTGCTGCACAGAGAACGTTTTCTGAGAGCACTGAAGAGAAGTGCGTGCGTGCATGGGGGTGTGTGGCTGAGTCTCAGAGTGGCTGCTGGGTGCATCGTTTGTTGAGCCTCAGCACGGCATGGCTAGTGGCTCTGCTGGTGGATGGGCACCCGCTGTGAATGTGCAAACACGAGTGGTCACATGGTGCATGTGACATCACACTTACACACTCATTCCACATCCTCACTCTCGTCTCAACGTGCTGTTCCTGGGACGGCAGGGAGTGAGCATGTCCGTGCTGTGCCTTGCGACTGCTGTGATTGCGGTGTGGAGCGTGGCAGGTACGACTTCAATGTGGGGAGGGAGGACGTGCTGGGGCACCACCAGGGGGCTGTCAAGTGCGTTGAGTACTCGCATGCCACGGGTGAGACAATGGACGAGTATGCATGTGTGTATGAGAGCTCACACATGGCAGACACTTGCGCCTGTGCCTCACACGTCACACTTGCGCCTGTGCCTCACACTTGCGCCTGTGCCTCACACTTGCGCCTGTGCCTCACACTTGCGCCTGTGCCTCACACTTGCGCCTGTGCCTCACACTTGCGCCTGTGCCTCACACTTGCGCCTGTGCCTCACACTTGCGCCTGTGCCTCACACTTGCGCCTGTGCCTCACACTTGCGCCTGTGCCTCACACTTGCGCCTGTGCCTCACACTTGCGCCTGTGCCTCACACTTGCGCCTGTGCCTCACACTTGCGCCTGTGCCTCACACTTGCGCCTGTGCCTCACACTTGCGCTTCACAGGCACAGCAGAGCAGCCCGAGCGTGGTTCATTCATGTCACTCACCTCCCATGTGTACCTCACTGTCTGCTTTTGAGGGTTCTTAAAGTACGAACTCCAAACCCCCCCTCCCCCCTTCCCTGCGTCCCCAGGCCAGCTGATAACAGGCGGGTGGGACCGCACAGTGCGCTGCTGGGACCCCCGTGCCCCCGCCTCCCACCTGCGCCTGACAGTGACAGCAGAGCAGCCCGAGCGGTGCTACTCCATGTCGCTTGCCGCTCACCATCCATCGGACCCTCCTCCATGCCCCCCATGCCCCCACGCCTCTGTGTCCCCCACCCACGCCCCTACATCCCCAGGCCAGCTGATAACGGGCGGCTGGGATCGCACGGTGAGGTGCTGGGACCCCCGTGCCCCCGCCTCCCACCTGCGCCTGACAGTAACAGCAGAGCAGCCCGAGCGCTGCTACTCCATGTCCCTCGCCGCGCACCGCCTGGTGGTGGCCATGGGGGGGCGCCACGTGTCCATCTATGATTTGCGCAACATGTCGCAGCCGGAGCAGCGCCGGGAATCTTCACTGAAGTTTCAGACGCGGAGTGTGCGGTGCTACCCCACGGGCACGGGGTATGCACTGGCGTCCGTGGAGGGGCGCGTCGCCATGGAATTCTTCGACCCCTCTGAGACTGCCCAGGCCAAGAAGTGAGTTGAAAAAAGGCACCAGTAGTGAGTGCAATAGGGCACCAGTGGCGAGTGGCCTGCCATGCAAGGAAGCGAGTGAGCTGGTGATCTAGTATGGCTGTATGCTGCCTAAACAATCAACCAGTAAGTCTGCGTGTACGAGTGGTGTGTGAGGTGCTTGCTACCCCACGGGCACGGGGTATGCACTGGCATCTGTGGAGGGGCGCGTGGCTATGAAGTTCTTTGATCCTTCCGAGACTGCCCAGGCCAAGAAGTGAGTGCACTGGGGCACCAAGGAGTGAGTCCGGTAGGGTTAGCACCAATGGTAATTCTGCCTGCCGTGTCAGTCGAGTTGTGAGTCGCACAAATAATCAGCAAGTGGGTCTGTGTACGTACGAGTGTTGTGAGGGGTGAAGCTGAAGGGTGCTCAGGCCAAAAAGCGAGTCTGTGCATGCGAATCTCATGAGGGGTGAAGCGGTTTGATTAGGAAAGGTGTGGGTATTCTTTAATGCCAAAGGAAAGGGTGGTAGGCTGGCTGCCACGAAGGTCCTCCTGCGCATTGTGGGCACCGGCGAGCATGGGGGGAGGGGGCCGGCTGAGGTGAAGAGTGGGTTGGTGGGGTGGGGTGGGATGCGAGGGACTGCTGCTGCCTTGCAGCAGGGTGCCCAGGCGCCTCTTCACCCACCTGCCTCTGGCGCTGTGTTGGGCTGAGCGGGGGTGACGGGCGTTGGATGATGGTGGTACCAGGGAAGGGGCAGGTGTGATGCGAGTGAAGGATAGCACGAGTGTAGAGGGTGGCGAAGGAAGGAGGGCAGCGAGGCAGGAGGGCAGCGAGGCAGGAGGGCAGCGAGGCAGGAGGGCAGCGAGGCAGGAGGGCAGCGTGGCAGCAGGAGGGCAGCGTGGCAGGAGGGCAGCGTGGCAGCAGGAGGGCAGCGTGGCAGCAGGAGGGCAGCGTGGCAGCAGGAGGGCATGGGACTGTGCTGGCCCTGCTGCCGAGAGTGGAGGGGCTGCTGCTGGGCCCGTGGATGCTTGCTTGCACACCGATGAGCACACAGTCATGTGTCACTGTGTGCGCTCATCTGCGTGCTCGCTCATTCTTTCCTTGTGCTGATTTCGTCGACTTTGGTGTTGTTTGTATACACGCCAAAATGCATGTGTGTGTGTATGTGTGCATGTGTGTGTGTGTGGGTGGGTGTGTGAATGTGTGCATGTGTGCTTGTGTGCATGTGCATGAGCGTGTGCATGTGCATGTGCATGTGCGTGTGCATGTGCATGTGCATGTGCTTGTGCATGTGCATGTGCGTGTGCATGTGCATGTGCGTGTGCATGTGCATGTGCGTGTGCATGTGCATGTGCATGTGTGTGTGCATGTGCATGTGTGCATGTGTGCATGTGCATGTGCATGTGCATGTGTGTGTGCATGTGCATGTGTGCATGTGTGCATGTGCATGAGCAGGTATGCGTTCAAGTGTCATCGGAGGTCAGAGGGAGGGAGGGACACGGTCTTCCCAGTCAACGCCATCGCCTTCCATCCAATGTGCGCCTCCCCTCCCCTCCCCTCCCCTCCCCTCCCCTCCCCTTCCCTCTCCTCCCCTCTCCTCTCCTCCCCTCCCCTCCCATCCCCTCCCCTCCCATCCCCTCCCCTCCCATCCCCTCCCCTCCCCCCCCCTCCCTCCTCTTCCCTTCCCTCCTCTTCCCTCCCCTCCCCTCCTCCCATCCCCTCCCCTCCTCTCCTCCCGCCTCACCTCCCCTCCCCTCCTCACCCCTACCCCACCCCTCCCCTTCCTCCCCTTCCTCCCGTTCCCTCCCTCCCCTCCCCTTGCATCACCTCACCTCCCCTCCCCCCTTCCCCTTCCCTCCCCCCCCCTTGCATCGCCTCACCTGGCCTCGCATGAACTATCCCACTGTTTCCTTTATTCTCCTGCTCCACGCCACGCCACGCAACGCCACGCCATGCCACGCCATGCCATGCCACGCCATGCCACGCCACGCCACGCCATGCCCTAACCGCCTCTCCTTGTCCCTCCCTCCACCCGCCCCCACGTGCTACAGCTACGGCACGTTTGCCACAGGAGGCTGTGACGGGGTGGTCAATATTTGGGACGGCAACAACAAGAAGCGCCTCTACCAGGTGCCTGTGCCCCCGCGCCCCTCCCCCGCGCCCCTCCCCGCGCCCCTCCTTTGCACCCTCTCCCTCGCCCCTTATCCTCGCTCCTTTCCCTCGCCGCTCCCTCTCTCCCTTTCCTCTTGCCCTCCCTTTCGTCCACCCCCCCGGCCTCCACATGCATTCTCTAGGGTTGGCAGTCACATGCTTCGTTGCGTATAGCCCACTCCACGGGCGCTCACCTCACACTGCCCTGCCTGCACGGATGCTTCTCACCGAAAACTGCGTCCTCGATTTCTGGCTTCTCCCCCCCTACGCATGCTCCTTCCCCCCACCTTGCACGTGTCCCCCCCACCATCTTCCCCCGCAACATGGCTTCTCTCGTGCTCTCGTGCCGATGCATGGTTCCCCCACACCCCTGCACCCCTGCACCCCCACACCCCTGCACCCCTGCACCCCTGCACCCCTGCACCCCCGCACCCCCAACAGTACGCCAAGTACCCCACGAGCATCGCAGCGCTCTCCTTCTCACGGGACGGTCGCCTGCTGGCCGTGGCAGCCAGCTACACCTTCGAGATGGGCGACATCCCGTCAGTGCCGCCCCTCCGTCCTGTCACTGCCCCCCTGCCACTGTCCCCCTCCCCTCACTGCCCCCCTGCCCTCACTGCCCCCCTGCCCTCTCTGCCATGCTGCTGTGGTTTCACTGCATGTCAGTCTGTTGTGTGTTGGGACCACTTTCCATGCTGTGCGCTGCACATATGCTCCATAATGCTCTTTCTGCTCATCCCCCCTGGCCATTTCTCCCCTGCCCCTTGCTGTCGCATGCCTCCCCGTGCTTATTCGCGTTCACCTGTGATGCCCTGTGCTTCTGCGCTGCCATGCTGCCCATTGCTATGCTTCCCCATGCTGCCCACTTCACAGGCACGAGAGGGACGCCATTCACATTCGCAACGTCAACGACGCCGAGGTCAAGCCCAAGCCAAAGGCCTACAGCACTGCCACGTAGGCACAGGCAGCACTGCCACGTAGGCACAGGCAGCACTACCACGTAGTCACAGACAGCACTACTACCTAGGCACGCAGCACTGCCGTGTAGGCATGCAGCACTGCCACGTAGGCATGCAGCACTGCCACGTAGGCATGCAGCACTGCCACGTAGGCATGCAGCACTGCCACGTAGGCATGCAGCACTGCCACGTAGGCATGCAGCACTGCCTGCCATGTAAGCACAGGCAGCGCATCATGCACCACCTCTTCCGAGTCCCGACCTGACTACCCGCCCCTCCCAAGGCATGGGAGCAGAGCAGAGTGTTGGGCAGCACCACATGGTACACCTTTCTAGGATTCGTCCATGTGCGTCGCCACATTCTAGAATACATTTCAGATGTTTATACGTAGTTGTCTAATGACCATGCGTAGAGATTGCCCTTTTCAACAAGATGAACAGACAAGTCTGGTTAAAAGGGATGGTGCAGTCATGCCTGCTGGTGACATTCATCAATCTACAGCAGTTGCTATTTCAATCGCCCGGCCCGGATACAAAAGCTGGGGTACTCTACTCTCTGCAGTCACCCCCCCCCCCCCCCAAAACAGAAGGGAGGCTTAGCCTGAGGCATTCCTACTTTCTGTTGTATATTCATTCTCACCTCAACTGGTACAGTACCTATATTTTTGTTTTTTCATTCACGCTGCCCTTTTCTTTGAACCTGCGCCGCATTTCGGAGCACACCGAGCAAATCCTCAAATTCTTGTCAAGTCAATCTTGAATGTCGCAGAGCGAGCAAGTTTCGCGTGCCCGTTACGGGTTTGGACCGACTTCCTGAGAAATGACCTGGCTTGCGACGGTGTTACAGACATGAAGAGGGCATCTCGCCATAATTTTGCGCTCATAACTCTTTCGTGGACTTTCGCGAACCAGTGGCATCGACGCACAAACGCCACGGCCAAGGGAAGTCCAAAACTGACCCACCTTCGTGCCTCCCACATTTCTTACCATTTGGGCAGGTGCATCACGGCGCGACACGGCCCCAGCCAAATGTGCGGCTCCGCACACATGTGAGCTGGTGAGTACAAAACCAACACTCTCTCTCTCACCTCAAACAGCATCAACAATCGAGCCTTCCAACAGCATTCAGAACTACTACTCGACGTCCATTCCTTCAAAACCAATAGTTTCCTTTGGTAGCAATCAACCGTTCGGCACGCCTACAAGCAATACCCGCACGCAACAATTTAGATTTCACCATGAGGTCGCGTTACGGCTACGATATCGCGATACTGTTGATCCTAGGAGCTTTTCTGCTGGCCGCACAGCCATCCAGTGCAAGCCGCGGCAACTCCGGCGAATTCTCGACGCCAGCAGCTGACGGTTCCGCCGTCTACATCGTTCGCTTGAATGCCGCGCCTCCCCTCTCTGAATATCGCGGCGGAATAGCGGGATACCCTGCCACTGCCACGTGGGACGACGGCAGCGACGAGGAGGAAAGTGACGCCCTGCCGCAGATGATTCTCCCCGCTGGCGATACCGCCGCCACAGCAGGCAGCGAATCCGTCGATCTGGACGACACAGACGGCGACCACCTCCTCTCCAACTCAGCTGCGCCCGCGCCGCCCGTGAACGGCACATCTGACGCCGCTGCCATTCCCAGCGCTCGCGGCGGTCGTGGTGGCAACGGTAACGGTAACGGCGGTCGTAACGGTGGCGGAAACAGCAGCGGCGGTGGCGGGTGACCGCGGCACCGGCTGAGTCTGAGCATGGACCGCCCCCAGGTGGCTGCATTCGCGGGGCTTCTCCAGCGGCAGCAGGCGCAGGTGGCATCTGAGGCGGGCGTACCCGAGGACGGGCTGCTCTACAGCTACTTAAACACCTCCAACGGCTTCGCCGCGCGCCTTTCGCCGCGCCAGTTGTGGCGGCTGCGGCGCCACCCCGCCGTGGCGTCTGTGCGCGCCAGCCGCGTGTTCCGCCGGCAGACCAGCGACTCGCCGCAGTTCCTGGGGCTGCCCGGGAAGGTGTGGCCGGCAGTGGGCGGGCAGAGCAAGGCGGGCGAGGGCACGGTGGTGGGGATCGTGGACACGGGTATCTGGCCCGAACACCCGTCCTTCAGCGATAAGGGCCTCTCCTCGCAGCTGCCCGCGGGGTGGAAGGGCAAGTGCGAGCAGTCGAGCTCGTTCCGGTGCAACAACAAGGTGATCGGCGCCAAGGCCTTCTATGCCGGCTTCCAGCAGAGCAGCGGCAAGCCCGTGCTGACCAACGACTGGCTCTCGCCGCGAGATGCGGACGGCCATGGCACGTGGTGCGCTGGGGCAGCCGCGGGGAACCCCGTGAAGGTGAAGGGCGGCGGGCAGGTGAGCGGCATGGCGCCGGCAGCGCGCATTGCGGCGTACAAGGTCTTCTGGACGGACGGCAACGGGGACATGTATGCGACGGAGCCAGATATCATCGCAGCCGTCAATCAGGGCGTGGCGGACGGTGTGGATGTGCTGTCGCTGTCTCTGGGCGGCGTGAATCCCGAGGACAACTATTTCAACGACCTTGCTTTCATGCGCGCCAATGCTGCCGGGGTGCTTGTCGCCTTTGCCGCCGGCAACGCCGGGCCTCCCGGTCGTGGTGGGTTCTACCGCACGCTTGACAACTTCGCGCCCTTCTACCTCACCGTTGGCGCCAGCACCATTGCCCGAGGAGGTGCGTCCCTTGCCTCAACTGCTGGCGCTCAGTCGGTCGCTCTCAGCACTAGCAACAGCAACATCAGCTGCAACGGCACCAGCGGCAGCAACAGCACGGAGGGCACGGACGGCAGCAGCACCGTTCTGACTGCTGACGGTGGGATCACCTTCGCCTCCTCCTCCTCCTCCGCCCCGGTGGTGGCTGACTTCTCTTCCCGCGGCCCCCTGCTGCAGCCGTCCGCCACGGCCCAGCCGCCCAAGCCAGGCAACGCCATCCTGAAGCCCGACATCATCGGCCCCGGAGTGGACCTCGTAGCCGCTGCTCCCGGCAACAAACCCGGCGATACCGGTTCTCTTGCGCGCATGTCGGGTACTTCCATGGCCACCCCGCATTTAGCGGGACTGGCCGCTTTAATCATCCAAAAGTACCCCAACTGGACCCCGGCGCAGGTGATGTCAGCGCTGATGACGACGGCGCGGGTGACGGACACGAGCAAGAGCGCCATCAAGAGTGCGACGGGCGGGGAGGCCACCCCGTGGGAGATGGGCGCAGGCCACGTGTTCCCCCCGGCCATGCTCGACCCCGGCCTCACCTACGACGCCCGCGACCGCGACTACCAGAACTTCCTCGCCGGGCAGGACCTCAACTGCGCCAAAAAGGACTTCCCAGGGGTGCCGCTCTCGCCTCTGGCTGTCCGCAACCTCAACCTGCCCACCATCACTCTGCCCCGCCTGCAGGGCTCCCTGCAGGTCACACGCACCGTCACCAACGTGGGGCAGTCCCGGTCCACATACAGTGTATCTGGGAAGCCCCCACAGGGGGTGAAGGTGACTGTGGGGCCTAGGAGCCTCACGCTGGCTCCCGGGGAGAAGGGGAGCTACACGGTGACGGTCACGGTTGATACTCCCAGTAATGACTTCAAGTACGGGTATATAGTCTGGGCTGATGACCAGGGCCACAGCGTGCGGTCCCCCCTCGTGGTGCAGCCCATCTCCCGCTGAGGGGTGGGAGTTGTGCGAGGCTCTCCATCATTTCATAACCAGCTCAAAACACACATGAACGCTAATGCTGCACCCACCATGCTGTTCCATTGCAATACGCCCTGCCATGCCCCTTGCCACGAGTAGTGGCACTTTCTCTCTCGAATAACATGGGGCTGTATCCAGTGCAGTACGCACTCCCACAGCTCATACAAAAAAAGCACCCCACCTCTCGCTGAGGAGAAGAGTTGTGTGAGGCTCTTTCATGATATGGAAGAGGGCTTGAGTGCCACTTCTCATTTGAGATGATGCTGTGATGGCGCATGACATGGCAGGGCATTGGAGCATGGCATGGCAGTGCCATGCCATTCCTTGTGGCACATGGGATGGCAGGGCATGTTGATTGGAACATTGGTTTGGAAGGGCTTGGTGTTTGTGGCAAGAGTGCTTGTATATATCTGAGCTTACTGGTTATTGTTTTGCAGATTCCTTGTTTGCATGCCATTTACCGTACTTGGAAATATACACGTCCAATCCAGCCATGCTAAAGCAGACTAAAAACACCAAGTTGCACACACTCAGCAAACCAAAGGCAATGCATCAGTGCTCTGAGGAGAGCTCAAGAGGAGAGCTGTATGAGGCTCCTTCATGCTACGGCTAAGGTGGAGAAGTGAAAGCCATGTGAGGCTTCTCATTTCAGGAACTATCGTTGGCAGTGTGGCGAAGCTGCTCTTCATGCGCCCCCCCTCTTTCCCCTCTTTCCCCTCGTTCCCCTCTTTCCCCTCTTTCCCCTTTTTCCCCTGTAAGAGGAAGAAGGTATTCTCGCAATTCACAATGCATGATTACTATGTGCATCAGCACTCTCACTCACTCTCATCATCGTCACCATCCAGCTCAAGCCTTTGCTCTCCAAAGAAGCCATCCCAAGGCAAAACGTGTTCCGCAGTCCTTCTAGCAGTAACCACCAACTGAGGCAAGAGCATCCCCACCTCCCTTGCAACAAGCCTCAAATCCACATAGTCGGAAGAACCCGTTCTCCCACTATTGCCTCCACCACCCCCCAACACACCCTCGCTTCCACCTGCCTTGCTCCCTCTCCACCCATTTCCAACAATCACTTCAGGAGACACCAGCAGCCGCCGCAGCCTGAACTCCTGCAACCCACAGCATCCTCGCACCTTCTTCCTTCCGTTCTCATGCCCCACACCCTCGCCTGCAAGTGCCTTCTCCTCCTCGCCCTCCCCACCCCTCTCCACCTCTTCAGCCACCCCATCATCTCTGTGCTTCTCATCGTTGCCAGCAAGCTCCCTGGCTGCTGCTGAGAGGGCGAGCAGGAGGGCAGAAGTCACCCCCGGGCATCCGAACAGGTCCAGCAGAAGGAGCCGTGGCAGCTGCAGCTGCAGTGGCGCACCTGAAGCACTGCCAGCACCAGCAGTGGCGTCAGAACTAGGTGGGATATCAAGAGCAGCCCCAGCAGGAGTGGCAGCAGAACTGCCAACCGCAGCATTCGTAGCCAATTTCACACCGCGGTGCCAGCTGTCGCCAAACAGCGCCGCCACGACAACAGCGTCGTCCACCCGTGTGCGCGGCAGCCTCAGCACCTCCAGCCGCCTACATCTCCTCGCCAGCTGGCGCCACGCTGCGGGTCGCACGTTCACACAGCCGCCCAGACTCAGCTGCACCAATCGCGTGCATCCGTTCGCAATGGCCAGCACCCCAGCATCAGTCACTCGCCAGTGGACAGCAGGAAGGGCAACACGCACGGAGGCCCTGGCATAGGCGGACGTGTAGTAGAGAAAGTCGTTGCTGCCACTTCCCTCAGCAGAAGCGACAGGGATGAACCGAGCTAGCGGCTGCGCGTGCAAGGCAGTGAGCTTCGGGCAGGACTGGGAGATCTCCAGCAGAACAGCGTCTGACGCCAGGGGGAGGGCGAGGCGCTCCAGGAGGGGCAGGCCGCGGATGGCCCGGCACAGCGCCTCCTCGCTCCTCCCCGGCTCGCCATCGGGAGGGGGTGGGGAACGCAGCACCTCGGTTCGGGACAGATCTAGGGTGGTGAGGTGGCGGAACAGGTGGCTCACAGCCAGCCACGTGGACGCGGGGGAATTGTGGGCGTGGAAGGAGCGCAGAGAGGAGGAGGATGGACGTTTGACAGAGAGGCTGGTGTCATTGCCGCCGCTGCTGCTACTGCTGCCGCCGCTGCCGCTGCTGCCGCCTCCACTGCCGCCACCGCCACCGCCGCCGCCGCCGCCGCCGCCGCTGCTGCTGGTATCCTTGTCTGCGCGGGTGGCGGAGCAGCCAGCAGCGAGGGCGAGCAGCAGGGAGGAGGCGGGAGGCTGATCCCAGGCGACGGAGCGATGGGGGGAGACGCACAGGCGGATGGAGGCGAGGGAGGGCGCCAGGGACGACCCTGAGGGGCACCAGAAGGGGTCGCTGGCACTGGGGGATGCAAGGGAGAGCGAGGCGAAGAGAGATAGAGCAGCATCCGACCGCGCTGCTTCTGGCCCAGCGGCTGCATTCGCTGACGTATCCGGCGCTGTTGCTGCACTCGCCTCTGTGCGCCCCGGCTGGGGATAGGCGCGTGGAACCAAGGCGCCGGACACGAGAGAGAGGCGCCGCAGCGACGGGAGGAGCGCGAGGAGCAGCGCGACCGACTCCCACGTGAGGGCGTCGGACCAGAGCGAGAGCGCCGCCAGATGCGGGAGTGTGCTGGCCACGTGCTCGACGCACGCAGCCGTGATGTCCGCTGGCGTGTCGAGGTTCAAGGCGCGGAGATTAGGGAGTGAGGCGGCGATGGTGTTGACGTGGAGGTCGGTAAGGAAGGAGCGCTGCGGCGGACGGTTTCGAATGGGGGGAGGCGGGAGGGGCGGAGGCGGTGGGGGCGGAGGCGGTGGGGGGAGCGGGGGGCGCGGACGGGGAGGCGGTGGGGGGTGCAGGACGCACGGACGGGGAGGAGGGGGGGGATAAGATGGGGAAGGAGGTGGGGGAGGCGGAGGGGGGGGAGGCGGGAGGGAAGAGGTAGAGCGAGGAGGGACGGTAGCAGTAGAAGGAGGAACGGAAGGAGGTGGGGGAGGAACGGCGCGAGAGGGAGGAGGAGGGGGCGCAGGGGCACGCGGAGGGGGCGGAGGCGGCGGAGGTGGGATGGTGGAGGAGCCGGCAAGCTGAATGCCGTCCGCGTGGCCCCACACGCGATCATGACTCGGGTATGTGATCTCCGGATCTTCACACGGGCTTAACCAGAACCCCCGCAGGTCCACGCACGCGGCAGGGCAGAGAAAGTGGTCCGAGCGGATATCCAGGCACTTGAGCTGACGTGGCAGGGCTGGTAACACCACCGTGGCAAAATCTGAGCTGCTCAAGGGTAGCGAGTCGAATGTCGGACAGTTCTGCTCGACGCATCCGACCAGAGATAGGGTTTCGATCCTCGACGCGGTTCTAAGGATTCGCACAATGCCGTGGGCCGTCAGCTTATCGTTGTCACCGGCGGTTAAGTTTCTCGCGCCGGGACGGATCTCCAGAGATCGAAGTGTGGCGGCGAATCGCGTCGCCAAATCTAGTATCTGCGCTTCGGAATCGAGACTACCTAGGATGCTCTCCGATCCCGGAGCTAAGCTCTCAAGCAGGAAGGGCGACGGTCGGAGCGATCGCACACACACGCGCAGCGCGACGCGGCACCAGCGGCGGCAGACTAAGGCGGCCGAGGAGATGGCGAAGCGCGAGGGGAGGAAGGAGAGGACGAGGGAGAGCGTGCCGTCGTCCAGGAGGGCCGTGACGGAAGCGCATTCCGCGGAAAGCTCTTCGCAATCACGGTCACGATCGCGATCCGCGGGAATGTGTGACGGTCGTTCCATGGTACTAACGCGTGCTGTCCGTAATAAGGCGTCTGTACTGTTGAGCGAGGGATCTCAGATTGCTGCGTAGCCTCAACGACACAAAGTGGGTTCAAGATTGAGGAATCGACAGAGTGGGATGATTGAGCTGCGGAAGAAACGCAGTGCCAGAATCCGTTGCCACGGCGATGCGACGATGCTGATGAACTCGAGGGTGGGAAGGAGGCGAGTTCAATGGGAGCCTTGGGGTATGAGCTGTGTGTTTCGGGGTGGAGCTGAGCGGGTTATGGTGAAATCAGTGTGTGTCAGGCGGCTTCATTTTTGCCCGAAACCCTTCCCAAACGCAACGAATCGTAAATGACATGCACAACATCGTCCACCACCGGAATCAGTGAATTTTTACCACACCCTCTAGGGCTGATTGAATTTACTGGCCTGACCAGATCGAACGGCCTGTGGATTGGATGCCTTGATTAGACGGTTGCGATATCCGCTTTGGTGATTGTCAGCTCAGTTGCGAAAAGGTGAGGCGCTGCGCCCACATCTGACTTTGCCGTTGGACATGCTGCGCCCACATTTGTCTGTCCCCTTGGCATTTGCCGTTGAATTCAGGAACACGGCACCGCACTCGAGGTGTGGGTTTCTCCGCGCTGGGGAGGGGACATCGCCCAGACAGAGATGCGTTTGAGTGGAACATCACCCCTATACTACACCGTCCGCCCATAAGTTTTTTTATTGATTGAATATCTATGCTGTGTTTATGTGTCTTTTATCCAGAAAGCTACGGTACACAGAAAGGGGTTTATTTCATTCAAAGATCAATACAAAGGTGCGAATTATTGCAACATGAACTCATCATGCAAAAACGTGAGCCCCTAGAGTTTCCGCAATCAGCGCTCATGAAAAAAAACCCTTAAGATGACCCTCTGTCTATCCGCAACAGCCCCTGGATACTACAGGTGCTTCATCAAGTCAGAAACGCTCAAGGTGTCACCCCCACCCAGAAAGCTGAACACACTATGCGCACTACTTGATTTTGGCATGGGGTGCCTCGGGTTGCTTCCATCAAGGATTCCTGCCTCACTGGTTCCAGTCAGCATGGCTGAAGCACTGCGCTTCAAGTGAATCCGGTTGGGCTCTTGGCTATCATCAGAAGAACTGCCATCTGACCAGCCCGATGCTCCCCATGGAGGACTCACATCCGCTGCTTCCAGCCAAGGCGGCTCCTCAGACCAAAAATCCTCGGAGCACAATTTTGGAGACAATTCAGAAAGGAAATCCTCGAAAGAAATGTCTGCATGCGCCAGCCCTCGTGGGCTTGCTTCTTCTGGGCTTGCTGCTGCACGGCCATCCTCGAATGAGACGCTTGTGAGGGGGAGTTTATATGAAACGCCACCTGCAGCAGCATCAGCTGTGGGAGGGCTGCACAGCTCAGGGTAAACCATCTGATTCAGATCAGCAGACAGTGCCTCAAAAACCCTACTGCTGGGGGTCCAGTGGTAACCTGCTGAGTAGCTCGCGTTCTCAGAAGACGCTGCCTCGTTAGAGGGCGTCAGACGGACCCTTTTCTCAGCACACAGCCAGCGTCCACCTAAAGACTCGTTTTCGGCGAAGAAGTCGCTCAGACTCCCGGATTCAGTTGCCGATTCGCAAAAGTTGAACGAAGGAGACGACGGGATCGTGGGAGACGGCGGCGTTAGAGCAGCCGCCTCTCCGCCGCGAGAACAGTCATTGCGTTGAGGCAAGAGATTTGCCGCAATTGCCGCAGCAGCGCCGTTCGACAGCGAGTCAGACCGAGCGGGATCGGCTTCAACTGAGGAAGAAACGCCTCCAGAGCTGGCGGGTCCAATGGGGAACTCCCCCCCGGAGAGAGCGCTGCTTGCAGTTGTGGACGGTTCAGGCCGGGTTCCAGCACTGTTTGGCGGGGATGCGAGCGAGTTCTGGTTGGTAACAACGGCAGTAGGGTTACAGGAGCTCGATTTCACGGCGCACAACGCGGGGTTGGGGGAGTATCCCTGCGCGTTGGAGCTCGAATTAGCAGCGGTGGAAGGGCAGGAGCCCTGAGAGATGGCATCGCCGGAGTCGATCAGAGGAATCGGGTGGTTGTGAGAGCAGTTGGAGTACTTGGTTTGGGTGGTGGCGGACGAGATGGGGAGGCGGCGGTCGTAGTCTACAGTCTTCTTCGCTCGGCAGGCAGGCTTGTTCTTGGAGGAATAGCACTTGAAGTAGCACCTGCGGCAGCAGCCATCACGGGATGTGGATATTAAAGTGTCAGATCAGACATCATGATGCTGAAGAAAAGCAGGTACGGTTTGTGTGAGTAGCACTGCTGCTCGGAAGCGAAGCGATAAGATAACGGATAGTGGAACAAACTTATTTTGTGTGGCCGTAGTACTATCGGCTGCGCCGCGTATACTACACAGTGTGTACTAAGGCCGCAGGCGCGTTACTACACGCCGTCATGTGCCACCAATGCAGCCAGAGATACGTTCAAAGCGTACCGTATGATGGAGGTGTTGTGAATGTTCTTCTGCCCGTACTTGAGCCACAGATGCCCATCAGTTCGCACGATATCGGTCATGTTCTCCCCCACCACCGGTGCTGACGGTCCTGGGAAGGCCGCCATCATCAGCCGAGAGCGCTGCGCTGGTTTTCGAGTTGAACTCGGGGAACTACGCGGAGAAAGCTTTCTCGACCTAGATCGTGAACTCCTGAGTGCTAACTATCGACTCAGGCTAACTCTAGTCGGCGGGTGGATTTTTCTAAGGTGGGAGGGTTCAAAACGTTCCGCCGGGACTCGTTCCTCGTGAAGCGTTCTGCTCGCGCTCTGAAAATTCTAAAGCGGGCGAGAAAGTGCGAACCGCATTCGCAAGGCAAGCGACGACACAAGAAGTCAGCTGCGGCTTTTATCCATTCTGGTGCACGTCAAGCGTCGCCTGCACGGCTTGGCCTAAAAGGATGAAAGACGGCTCCACAGAAAAAGGCGGCAGAGGAGAAAAAACATGTCACACGACATTGAGGGGAAAAAAAATCATGCGGCCTCGTTTCGATTGCGCCGTTTTGAGTTCAAGTGGTTTTTGCGAATGTGCAGTTTCTACTGCTCAGTAGCTGTGTGTGCCAGTGTCCTCTCCTCACCCACTGCTGCTCTTGCACTGCTCAATTTGCCTTGCCTCAACGAGTGGTTGAAAATCAGCAGAAGTGTTTGGGAGCAAATCGATTGGCGAGAATTGGAGGAGCTTTGACGTGCTCCCCACGGATGTGCGACAAGCGGCCACCGCTTTCTCAAGGGTAGAACTTTGAGGCTGCACTGAGAAAGGTTGATTGGGGTTGAGTGAGGTGGGCTGGAGTTAATGCGGAAGGAAGATTTGAAGCATGCGACATCAAACGAGCAACTGACAGTGCAGACTTTTGCTACAGTGTGCCCCGGGCAGCTTGGCCGAGTCAGCTCACAGAATCTCCCCCGAACCAGATGTCACAAAATTCTGGGTTTGGTTTGGTGCAAAGCAATGTTCGATTGGCGGCGCATTCGGAATCGAATAAGGATGAAGCACGTGTCTTGCCACGATGGAGTTTAGAAAGAACCATCTTTATGAGGTAACTCCCACTCAAATGAGACTGTAGCGCGCAGCCGCTTTTTGAGAACGTGGAGTGGAGTTCTATTGGTCCATGGTGGTTGAGGGACTGAATGAATGCACACCTGAGCGTGCAAGTTCATCCACATGTGGAGTGGCCAATCGAGCACAGGTTTGTTTGTAACTGTAATTCGAGGACGTCGTCCCCAGACCAGAAGGCCACTTGTATGTCAGACATCGATCTGCTCGTGGCTGTCAATGATGACAGCGTTCGACAAGGCAAGGACCACCTGTTCTTGGCTGTCAATGATAACCAGACCAGGTCTGTTGGTTGGTTTGGGCACCTGGGTGAAACCTCGGGTCTGGCTTAGGCTTCGGATCGACCATCGCGCGCACTGTGTACACCCTCATTCTCACCTTTCTCACCATCGCGCGCACTGTGTACAGTGCGAACAGCTAGCGCGATGGTGCCCCTAACCGTTTCACAGGCAATTGTGAAGTTGGCGACAAACCAGGGTTGAGGTGGCAAAATCAAACAGTGTCCGCGCATTGCAAATGGCAAAATGCTACAGTAACACCAAAATTGCAATTGCAGATGCCGTCATTGTGATTTCGTTGTCAGACGTGCAGTCAACAAGATCGGCCAGCTGGCTGGTATGATTGAGGCGACAAATTGTGCTTGTATGCATTGTGATAAGACCTCCTTTGGTGCGTTGCTGTCAGTCAAAGGGGCATTTATCTTAGCGGTAACACTCTTGGAGCTCGATCGCACGCGAGGTAAGCCACGCGTCCAAATCGTAACAGAGATGTCTTCTTATCGCCACGATGGTAACCATCATGCCCAGATGGTCAACATTATTGCCTGCATGGTAATGAACAGTGCATCCGGAAATCCTGGCTGGTAACTTCGCGTTCCAACCAAACTGTACACCGTACAAGTCAGGTTTGACTCAGCGAAACGATACTGACTGTCAACGTGTACCCCACAGAATGCGCATTTCTGTTTATAGTAGCGACGTTTGTCAGAATCCCAACCACTAGACCATTGGGATAAAAGGGCTTGTTAAGTAGCGGGTCAGTGCGCCCATAACCCCCCAGGCCAACATGCCTGTAACCCTTCCCTAGGATCAATCGGGGATCACCAGTGGACCTCTGACACCCCCCCGCACTGGGATGCCCGAAGTGCACACACTGGGATTCGAACCCGAGACCTTCGCTCTGATACCATGTCAGAATCCCAATCACTAGACCATTGGGATAAAAGGGCTTGTTAAGTAGTGGGTCAGTGCGCCCATAACCCCCCAGGCCAACATGCCTGTAACCCTTCCCTAGGATCAATCGGGGATCACCAGTGGACCTCTGACAACGTTTACAATAAGAGACAAAAAAACTGCGATATGGTAATTCGTAATCTGATCATAAATTTAAAAACAAACAAAGAAACAAAAA